CTGGTTCTCTCTGCTGGTTTCCAGGGGCTCTGGAGGCGGCTCTGCCTCTGTGCTCGCTCGGCATCGCTCCCGGAGCTCTTGGGCGCCTCAGATCCTGCAGAGCTTTCGGCTCTGGGCTCTCTCTCCAGACCCAAACCAACCTTGGGATCACACTGGATCTTCCTCCAGCTCCATCCATTAGGATCTCCAGCCCTGAAGAGAGGAATGTGGCTCCTGCCTTGTCCAGCTCATGGGTAAGGGAGTCTCTTCCCATGCCTTTCCCAAGCATGGGAAGAGGCTGGAGAGGCTTTGCCAGAGCTGCAGGAGGGCAGAGGTTTCCCCCAGGGTTTTCCTGCCTCGTGCTGTCCTGTGTGTCTGCCCTGAGAGGGGCAGTCAGGGCTGGAGGCCACAAGGTCAAACCTCAGAGGTGAGTGACTACTCCTGGAATTTCCTAGGAGAGAGGAGACACTGGGAGCCTGGAGCAGGACAAACGAGAGGAGAGGGAGCATCATCTAGAGAAACAAGGGTAGGATCTCCACGAGGGGATCTGCTGTCCAGGGAGAGGAAAACCAGAGGTGCAGATCCAGGCTGGGTGTCAGGAAAAATCTCCAGCTGCTGGGAAACTGCCCCCACGGGGGGTGAGGGACGTGTCAGAGCTCTCAGACACCTCTGTCCGTGTAAACACCGGCCTGCCCGGGGCGAGGGAACAGGTTTGGTGACTCCCTGGGCTCCAGCCCCGGCTCTCTGGGATCTGTGTGCTCATCCTGGCTGGTGAGAGCCCTGTCCCCCCATAAGCACCCTCCTGGGACCTGGAACAGAAGGATTATACAAATGAAGCTGTTGTAGGACTGTAATTTCAGAGGGTTTGTTTTGGGTTTTTTCCCCTTACCATTAGATTTTTTTTTTTCCTTTTCTTTCCCCTTTACTAAAAAAAAACCCACCTTCTTTTGTGCACTTTGGACCGAGCTTGTCATATTTCTTAGAGTCTCCAGTGACTCCTTCATGCTACAGACTTTCTGGAGTCCTCCTTGTTAGACCCAGGACTACATGATTCATTGTGTGCTGGAGATTTAATACTGCACGTAAAACAGCCCCGGTTCAAATTTGTTTTCTTTCATTCACCCCCCTCCCCTTTTTTTTTTTAATTTTTTTTTTTTATTTCTTGGCTTCTCACTTACATCCTGGAATTTCATTTTTTTTTTCATGAGATATAAAATAAATACATTCCCAAATATGTCCAGGAGGAAATGATCCGGTTAAGATTTTTCAGCTGCTGTTTTTTAAGGCCTTTTAAAACAATTTGGTGCTGTTCAGCTTTCTCAAGGGATGGGTTTGTGTGTTGGGAAGACCCTCTCCCACCTCTCCTGGGCCTCTGAAGATCCACATGGCTCTGTGAAGAGCTGCATTTGGAGATGTGTCTTCCTGACCAGAGACTTTTGGGATTGCTTTTCCAATGGTGAGATGTAGATTTTTAATGCCAAAAGGGACCTTTTTGTTTATTCAACCTGCTGAACGCCATCCTTTAAGGTCACCAGCCCGGTGGTGACATGTCCCATCCTGGTACTGATCAGCAGGTGGTTCACTGGGCCTGGTGTCACTCATGTACTCAGCAGTCACTCAAGAGCAGTGGCTGGGATTGGCATTTTCCGAGGATAAAGTGCTCTGAGGGGCAGTGCAGTGATGACCTGAACCCAGGAAGAATTAGCTGAACCCTTTAATTACAGGTTGCCCTACACCTGCCTGTGTGAGGTGCCTCTGTCCTGCCCGAGCTCCTCTTCATCTGCATTTGTTGAACACATGGTAATGAACTCCAGTCCCTCTCAGCCATGGCCTGAGAATCAGTTTTTTGGAGGAGCCCAAGGCTGGGTTTCCTGGGATTTGGTCCCGGTAACGAGCTCTGGGACCAGCTCTTGGCCTTTCCCAAAGCACTCCAGGAGTTTGATTTCTAAAAGGACCTCAGCACCGCAGCAGCAGGGTCAGCCTTGCTGCCCAAGGAGCCCATTCCCGGGATGCAGCATCCCTGGGGGAAGGTGGTGCTGCTCCCTGAGCTGCCTGAAGCTGTGCTGTGTCACAGCTGGGCAGGGTTGGCTCCTGCAGCACACGGAGACACTCGGACTTCCTGCAGGCCGGGAATTCTCCTTGCTTCCCAGTGCCTTGCATTGCAGCTGAACCTCAGGATGCAAATCCCACGACTCTCCTCGTTCCCACGTGGATTTGGGCCCATGGCAGAGCTGTTCTCTCTGTGCTCCGGTGACCTGAGCAGCTCCTGTGTGTGTGTGAAGATGTGCCAGGCAACGTTCCTGCCCCCGTGCCTTGTGTAAACACCTCAGGGGTCCAATGCTGTTCCTGGCTGCCATAATTCCTCTGCTCTGCTCAGGTAACTGCTTGGAAAGGAGGGAGGATAATGATATTGAGCTTGCTTTGCTGATGTGTGCTGGGCCAGGCTCAGCGTGGGAACAAGGGCTGTCCCAGCCAGCAGCTGGGTCATGGGAGATGCTGCTCTTTGTCCCACATCAGGCACCTCCAGCTGGCACCCAAAACCACCTTTGCAGAGTTTGCATGTTTTTTGGGAGCTCTGCTCCTGGCTCTCCCTTTCCAGGTGGCCCCAAACAAGGCCTTTGCAGCACCTCTGCCTCAGAGAAGCGAGTTTTCCATCCCTCTCTGAAGGACTTTAAGCCACCCTGTGTGACCCCTGACCACCCTCATGCTGGGAGCCCCAGCTCCTGGCCCCACACCAGGCTGTGGACAACCAGAGAAGGGGCTTCCTGCCCCCAGTGCCACCCAAACCTGCAAAAGCTGGGGAAGGGAAGGAGGCGAGTGGGGACGTGGTTTGTACCAGCCCAGTGCTGGTCCAGAGGTTGTGGGTGCAGCTCCATTTCTTTTCCCTCGAGCTTTGCACAAGGTCTCAGCTTCTTGGCCGAGGAAAAAAATGCTCTCAAGGCTTTGGACAGTCAAGAGGTCACCTCCAAGAGTGGTCCTTGTGCAGGTGCATCCACCACATCCCCCTCGGCCTCTCCCCTGCTCCTGCTCCCCGGGGGCTGCTCCCGCCGCCATCCCAATCATCCCCAATCATCCCAATCATCCCAATCACCCAGCCATCGTGGCGGGGAGCCTGCGGATCCCGTGGCTGCCGGGCTGGCTCGGCACAGGCTCCCAGCCCTGCTTTCATTCCCCAGCCTGTAAACACGGCGGCTCCGGCGTTGCTTCCATGTGGTTCAGCCATCGCCGCTGTGGGGGCTGCAGCTTCCCGGCCGGGGTGGGGCCGGCAGCTGGGGGCTGGAATTGCTTCAGCCACCCGGCTTTAATCCACCTCTGTGGGTGAGTCAGTGCCCCCGGGGGCTCAAGTTGAGAGCTTGGGCTCACTATATATAGTCAGTGGGGCTGCTCGGAGGCACCTCGGGAGCTGCCCCTCCCCGCCGGCTCCCCGGGTACCACAGGCAGGGAGAAGTACCCCGAGATGGGGAGTTAAGCAAACCTGTTTTACCTAACGCCGGGCCCAGACAAGGAGCCCACCTGCGGTTGCCTGGTGCAGCTCATCCGTGGCTGAGGCAACTTCTCAAACCACTTGAATTCCCTCCTAAGACGCGTCTGCCAGCGCTGTCTCGTGGTGCAGCCCTGGGAGCCAGAGTTCACCCTCCCACCCCACAGGGTCACCACACTCTGCTTCTAGTCTGGGGGGCTGCCTGTGTGTCCCCTGTGCCTGCAGCCAGGTGCTGTTTTGAGGGACCAGGTGTCCCCATCACCCCACAGCATCTCCTCCGCCATCGTGGCTGCTTTTCGAGGACCCGCTGCTCCCGTTTGCAGAGGGCAAATATTTGAGCTGCCCTGGCAGTTATGTCTCAGGCAGAGCCATCCCTGCGTGGGATGCAGGTGCCCTTTAGGGCTGAAGCTCCTGAGCATCAGCAGAGAGGACCCAAACCTCTCTGACAGAGGAGATGTCTTTAAATTTGGGCTCCCTTTGTGCCTGCTGAGCACACTTGGCTGGTGGCAGCGATGTAGCAACTCCCCAGCACACATGTTAGTGGTTTTGAGGGCTAAATTGGACCTTGAGAATTAGCAGCCTTGTAAGTCAATAACAACATGCCCTAATGAATGCAAGATGTCCCTAGGAAATGAAAGCTCCTCTGCTTGACTGGGAGCCTGTGACTGGGAGAGGACCAGTAAACAAGAAGGAATGCTTGGACTGGAGATGAGCAGGAGATACAAACTCGACATCTAGAGATTACAAACACACCCCAAATGTGGGTGGTGGCGGCGGGGGGAGCACGAGCCGTTTGCAGTTGTGAAATGCAGTGGTGTCTGTCTCCTGGCTGTCCCCTGGGTCTCCTGGCTGTCCCCTGGGTCTCCTGGCTGTCCCCTGGGTCTCCCTCGGGTGGGCTGGGCTCTGGAACACAGCTGGGAAACCCAGGAATGTCGCTCCTGCCCCTCACCATCACTGTGCAGGGTGGGATGACTCCAGCAGCCCCCTACCCCCTCCAGAGCCTGCCTTCTGAGATCCCTGTGCCCGCTGTCACCTGCAGCCTGGCTGCTTTCAGCCCCTTCCCACCCTCACTGCCAGTGCTGGTTTCACCATTTAATTTTCCACGTGGAAATTCCTCCCCTCCTCAGGCCTGCAGACACCCCAAGTGTTAGCACTGCTCTGCATCTGGAGTTTTTATCCTCCCACTGCCTCAAAATGAGCAGTTTGATCATTCCCTAATTGCACCCAACATGGACATGGGGCTCAGGAAGCATCAGGAATGTCTGCCCAGGGCTCTGGGCCTTGAAGCCTTCGCTGGCTGCCACTGCCACCCCCTCTAATGCCTCCCAAAGTGTCCTGTGCCATCCTGGCACTGCAGTGATTGCTCCCAGGCAGGCAGCTCGCTCAGGTTAAACCCTACAAACACGGGTGATGCTCAGGGGCGACTCTGTGCCTCAAAGAAATGGGACTCTTCACCCCCTCACAGGGCAGCAGCACTGGGATTTTGGGATGGAGGTGGCCCTGAGCTGCTCAGCATTACTGGGAGCACTGGAGTTCATGGTCTGCACGTGCAGCCGGGGCTGTGCTGCCTCTTTACACATCACCCTGGGTCAACCACCCCGTCCTGCCCGGCCAGTTGGTGTGGTGGGGACATGGGGCCCTGCTGGTAAAACCACTCCAGGACAAGATCTAGGAAAAGGGCAGCCTGGTTTCATGGCTGTCTCCTCCTCCTCACTCTGAAGTCACTGCAGTTTCAGGTAAGTTTAACAGGTGATTTGTATTCACCACCATTAAGGGCAGTGCTCACCGCTCTGTCCTGCAGGCTGGCTGCACACCACAGGGAATTGCTCGTTGACCCCAAGCTTTCCTCTGCCCAATTATCCTGGTTAGCTTGCAGGCAGCCTCGGGAGCGGGGCAGGGAGCAGGTCACACCGAGGGACTCGTCCTCCCGTGCCCCTGCCTGCCCTCGAGCTGGGGGCAGGGTGCTGGGCAGGGGTGGCTCCTGGAGGGTGTCAGGTCACGGCAGCCTCAAAGCCAGTTGGGAAGAAGAAAGTTCCAGTCCTGGGACACCCCTCAAGCACCTGCACTGGTGTGTGGCACACCCTGACCGGGCTGGTGCTGACCCAGAGCAGCTGGTGCAGGGCAAACCTTGATGTGGCTTGTGGAGCATCACCAGTGCCGTGTCCCCACAGGACGGGTGACATTCTCCTCACAGGACTTTCTCCTGTGGCCATTGGCACCCTGGGGGTACCTGTGCTGAGTGGCCAGAGCAAGTGGCTGGACCTCAGGGTTGCCTCTGGCAGACAGGACCTCGTGGGTCTTGTCCCTCAAACCAACTATGAGCCCAATGCCTGCCAGACCTCACCCAGCTCCCCCAAAGCTGCAAACGGGCTGGAGCTGTTCCAGTGCTGTGATTCCCATCCAGAAGCCCCGAAAGTGGACATGGGGGTGAAACTGGGAGACCTGAGACCCGCTGCCACCCACGAGCACGTGTGTCCTCGGCAGGAGCAGGGACGGGGACATGGGAATGGCGGCGTTGCCCAATCCACGCGCATGGAAATGAACTGCTTTGTGCACAAAAAAAAAGCCCTGGTCGTGCAGAGGCGCTGGGTGTGTGCGCGTGTGGGTGTTCAGACTCTGCAGGAGCGACCTGGGATGCCTGGAAAAAAAAAAAATCTCCTTTGTGCATTTAATTAGCGGTAAACGCCATTTAAATGCGAGATGCCTCTCGGTCTGAATCTGCCGGTCGATTAGCAAACTGCAGCCCGGTTGTGTCGTGCACTTTGTTTGCCTCAGCCCGCAGCGGCGCTGCCCCAGCGCGGCAGAGCTCCCTGCCTTTGCATTTCAAAGCCGGGCAGGGGCCGGGTGTTGTTGCACAACCGGGACGGGACGGGTGCCCCGGGATTTTGGCCCCCGCTCCCTCTCACCCCCACTTTCCCCGTGAGTTGGGGGCGGTGCAGCCGCTCAGTGCGGGATCAGCTCTCTGCTCTGGCGGTCCAGCCAAGGAAAACGGGATTGTGCCAGGGCACGGACAGCGAGGGGACAGCTGGGGGACCGTGCTGCTCTCTGGCCGCTGTGCCGAGCAGACGTGGTGCTGCACCACAGCTCCCAGAACGCGCTGGTTTTGCTGCCAAACAAGGGGCTTCTCCAAGTGGAAAAAGTCCTGGAGAATCTCGGTGCACGCAGAGAGGGGGCAGAGAGGGGAGCGGGGGTGCTCCATGGGCACCACTGGAATGGTGGTGCTGGGGTCGGTGCCTCCCTCCTGCCTTCCCACTGTGCATTTCCTTGGCAGTGCCACCCGTGCCACGTCCTCGGCCACGGCAGGGCTGTGACCCCACGGCAGGGCTGTGACCCCACGGCAGGGCTCTGACCCCATGGCAGGGCTGTGATCCCACGGCAGGGCTGTGACCCCATAGAAGGGCTGTGACCCCACGGCAGGGCTCTGACCCCACGGCAGGGCTGTGACCCCACGGCTGTTGCCGTCCTGCCGGTGGCTGTGGCCCCGCAGAGTGGCTGGGGCAGCTGCCCAGACCTGTGTGCTGCTTCCTGTGGTCACTGCAAACCATTCCCAGGAAACCAGGAGCACGTGGGTTTTGGTTCAGGTCCCTTTTTAGCTCCTCTCTCCCCTCCGGTGCCTGTGCTGATAACCAGGGTCCCTCCCACGAGCTGTGCTTTCCTCTGGTCCTGGCAAACCCCAGCCTGGCCTGGCTTCTCCCTATCCATGAGGAATGGGTGGTGGGATGGGTCCTGGGAGATGGGAACGGGCAAAGCACAGCTGGTGCAGAGCAGGGTGTGAGTCCATGGGGTTGGGGCCCTAAAGGGAACTGCTCCTGCCTCCAGCTCCTTGTCCTGACATGGCCAGAGAGGCTCTGCAACTGCTTCTCCACCCCTCAGAGATGGAGCAAGGAGGGGGACTGATGGTGAGAAAAGGAGCTCCCCCGTGTTGCCCAGATTTCCCCCCCCGCTGCAGAGCCCGGGTTAGAGTCAATTCTGCATTTCTACCCTCTTGGAGAGAAAACAGGGGCTTTGTGGGCATTCCCAACATGCAGAGAGTGGATGTGGAGTGTTGGGATGCTCGAGCCCGGAGGCTACTGTGTCAAGCTGGACTCGGAGCAGCTCAGCCTTGGCACCGTCCCCACGAGGCCCTGGGTGACAGCCCGTGCTCCCACTTGCCACCTAAACAAAGCAGGAGCCACGAGGGGAGCGTTTCACCCAGTTTTGCCAAGACACAATGAGATGAAAGCAGTTGCCCGAGGTCATTCCATAAACCTGGGGCAGAGCTCAGATCCCAGCGAGCACCCTCCCCGTCCTCAGCCCAGCCCCACACGGCCCATCTGGGGCAGGTTTCTGTCTGCTCATCCTCTCCTTTTGTCTTGTCCATCACTTCCAAACACTCTCGGGTGCTTTGATCTGCTCTCAGTGCCCAGGGCCAGCTTCTCCTCCGCTCCCAGGAGCTGGGCCGGCGGGCACGAGCCCTGCCCAGCCCCAAGGTCTCACCAGCTCCTTCCTAAGCTGAATCCCATGATCCTCTTTTGGCTTCTCCCACCCACTCCAAGTCCTTGTCACCACAATTAAAGAGGTGCCTGAGGAGGGCAGGAGGCAGCCAAGGTCTTTTTGTTGAGCTGCAGAGGGACAGGGCTTGCTCTGGCCCTGATCCCCAGGTGCTTCAGGCCCTTTTTGGGGAAACAGGGGTGATCCAGGAGCCTTGTTTGGTTCCTGGTAATCACCTCTGCAGGGCTGGGGCAGAGTGAGGGTCCACTGGCAGCAGTGCCCCCTCTGCCCCATGCCCATGTCCTCAGCACGGAGGGGATGGGTGGGCACTGACGGGGAGATGTTGGATTCCCTGCATCCAGACTCCCTGGGAAAGACCTGACTTGGGCTTGTGCACGTGGCAAACCCTCTCCCATCTCAGCAGAGCTCTGTTTGACAGCAGTGCTCTGCCAGCTCCCTCCGTGCCACGGCCACTGGAAGCGGCTGCAACTCCCCCTGCCTGACTCAGTGAGGTCCCAGCTGGCCTCTGAGAGGAAAAAATCTGTCCCTGGAGCCACAAACCCTGTGGAGATGAGTAATCCCCTCCCTCTCCAGCTGTCCCGGGGCTCTGCTCACTGGGAAAGGGATTCCTTGTGTGGCTGCTGGCCCCGGAGTCAAGGGGACCAGCAAAGCCACTGTGGTCCAGACAGGATCCCTGCTCCTGACCCTGCATCCCTGCCAGCTTCACTCACGCTCCTGTGGGAGGCCTGGATGCTCCTGCTCCCCTTGGAAGGCTGTTTGGAGCTCCACGACACGTCTGTCCCTCAGCATTGTCCTGGCTGACAGATGCAGATGCCCAGGTCCTGTGGATGTTCCTGTCCCTGTGCTCAAGTGAGGCTGAGGCTCAGGGGGAAAAAAAGAAAAAGGCAAAAAGGCTGGATGCAGCCCTGCCATCCCAGTGTGGATGTGTCCTTCCCACTCAGCCCAGCCTCTGCACAGCACATTTCTTACCAGTGACTTTCTGGGCACCTTTCAGCATCCTTCTGTGGTGGCAGCTGGCATAGAGGGAGCTGGAATTTCCTCCTCCTGCTTGGTCCAGACCCAGAAGACTTCACTGGAATTTTTAATTTGTTATTTTTTTATTATTATTATTACTTCATTTGCATTTATTTGGCTTTCCAGACAAGCTTTGGCCAGCGGGGTCACTGGCATTTGTGGGAAGTGAAGCTGGACTCCCCATGCCTGGGTTTTCCTGGCTGAACGTGGGCTCTGGCCAGTCCAGACTCACCCAGTGCCTCACCTGGGGCTTTGGGCTGTGGTTCCTTCCAGCCGCTCATTTTTCATCTCCAGGGCTGAACCTCTTAATACTTTTGTTGGCAAAAGTAGAAAAAAAAAAAAAAGAGGGGAAAAAAATGAATCCAGTAAAAACAGCTGATTCAGATCCGCCGTATCTCGATGTGGCAGAAAGAAATTAGTCGTTGCACGTGGGCTGAGGGAGGTTGTTTGTCCAGGAGAACAGGGGCAGGGAACAGCTTCCTTTCCTTAATTCCTTTCTTATTTTTTTTTTTAAATTTTATTTAAATGAAATCTCCCTGCTTGCTGCATTTAGCAGCCAGAAATGCACTGGGACAACCGTGTCTGTGGCTCCTGCTCCCCCAAAGCATTGTCTGCCCTAATTCCCCCCTGCTCCATCCCCAGGAACCCTTGGGTGGGCTGGGGGGGTCCTCAACCCCTTCAGTCTGAGAGCAGCCAATAAAATCAACAGTTCCAGTGGTTTTGGAAGAGCTCTGGCAGCATCTGAGCGGTGGATGGAGAGGAAATAACTAGGAAATAATAGGATTATTTATAATATGTAAGATATTAATGCAATGCAATGTAATATAATACAAATAATATAATATATACTACATACAATACATAATATATAATATAACACAATATAACATAATATAATGCTTTATAATGTTTCAGTCTGACTTCCAGCTCTTTCCTTTAGGCCTAATTCCTGTTTTCCTCCAAGCCCATCCCAAGCATCTCCCTGTGCTGCTAGAGTAGAGATTTGTTATCCATCTGGGACTACTGGTCCCTTCTGGAGCAGCCCTGAACTCTCCATTAGACCAGTTGCTTTCTGATTCGGAGGGGAGCAAAGAGTTAAAATTTATTCCATCCACCTGTATATTTTCCCAAGCCTTCTGATAGCAATCAAGAATGCAGGAAACGGTGTATTTAAGGGGTCTGAATTTGCCAAAACTGTGCCACAAGTCAAACTTATAAAGCAAAGTTTATTTGTAAAGTTACAGAAGGCTGAAGTATCTCCTGTTGAAGGGGTAAGTCTCTTTAAACCTATCCCGGGATTTTTTTTCCACCTCTGCCTTTTAAAATGATTGGGCTTGGGAAGAGGGAGAGGATTCATGAAGAGGGGCTTGGTTTTAATCTAATAAGTGTTTTTTTCCCCTGTAGGCAAGTGCTGGAGCTCATCAAGGCACAGATCAGCCCTGCTGGGTTATAGAGGGACCTTTGACTGTTGACTGGGATCATTTCAGCTTGTTTGGAGCCCTGGGAGGGACCCGACAGGGCTCAGCAATGCCTCAGCTGGGGCTCCCCAGCTCCAGGGGGCTCAGCACCACTGGATTTGGTATCTATCTCTGCTGGATGGTGGGAGGCTGTGGTGGGGTGCTGTGATGTGCCCCCAGCCACACAAGGACCATGAGTTCTTGGCCATGAACCCAGCCCACCCCGTGTGCTGCTTTCCAGGGATCCTCCAATCCCTAAAGGCTCCGTGAGAGAGTTTTATAAACTCTTCCCATGCTGAAGTGGCAGCCACCTCGGTGGTCACTGCACCCCTAGTGCAAGGGCAGCACATCAGACTTCATTAGATATTAAACAATTAATTGTGTTTGCACTCCTTGCGGGAGGTGGGAGCTGGTGTTTGGCTCCTTGTTGCTTGGGAGTCTCGGGGGGCTGGGAAGGGGCTCTCAGGATTCATGGCTTAAACCAGTTGAGTCTCCTGTTGGTGATGCCTTTGGCTCCTGGTCACTGCCCACCGTGCCAGGGGAATGTATCCCATCCTTTTCCACCCTGGAGAGGCAGCAGCACCTCCTGCCTACGTGAGCTCTGGCAGCCTCATGCCAGAGCCCGCTCTTCCCACCTCCTGCAGCTCTGGGACCTGGAACAGGGAAATGGGATGGGCAGGGACTGTCACCTGCTGTGAGGGGCTGGGGGAGCCCTAATTCCATGTTGCTTCCCACCCCTTGGATACACTGCAGGTGGAATGGGCTCATCCCTGCCTGCGGAAGAGCCGGTGAGTGCAGCCCTGTGGCCAAGCTCCCACGGAATGGAACCACATCCCACGGAACACCAACCCCTTCAGGTCACTGCTGCTTGGACCCTGACACACACAGGGACACCGGCTCGGGGAGTAGCTCCAAAACAGCCAGTGGCTGCTCTTCCAAAGGTGTTGGGTCAGCACGGCAGGGCTGGAGCGACGGCAGCCGTGGGGTTTGGCTCCCATTGTCTCTCTGTGCACAGCTCCCTTGGGTTAATCCAAATCCCTCTGGGAGGAATCAGAGATAAACCCAGGCTGGGAGCACTGCAGGTGCTGCCTTGGCACGGGGCAGCAGGGCCGGGCACCCGCGGTGGCAGCGGGCCACCACAGGCTGGGTGGCCCTTTCTTGGGTGGTGGCTAATGACTTGTAATTGAGATGAGGCTTTAACACCCAGCAGCAGGTGAGCTGGCACGCTGGGGAGGGGGAAGGAGCCGAGATAGGGGCGAACACGGCGTGTCTGGGTGCCACGGGCACCGCTGAGCCGGCCCGACCGGTCCAACCAGCCCCTGCTGGGTGCCAGATCCCGGCTGGGCTGACACCTCCTCCCCAACGCCGCGTGCCCGACACCCCACTGAGGTGCACAAAAAGGGGGTTGGGGTGGTTTCTTTCCTGCCAGGAAAGAGCACAAAGCCACCTGAAACGCCAGCTCAGTTGGGGTTTGCACGGGGAAGAAGAGCTGGCTCTCAGCGAGGCCTGGAGGGTGGCACCGGGGTGTGACAGGGGCTGGCTTGGCCTCAGCTGGAAAGGCAGGAAAAGGCGGGAATAAAACACTTTGCAGAGAACAGTGTGGATGGTTGGGTCCTGGAGACACCAGGCACGATGGGGTGGGAGTGAACCCTGGCTCTGGAAGGGACACATGGCATTGCTGGCACCGAGCAGAGTTGGGTGCGATGGGAAGGGGCATTTTCCCCCAGTTCTCTCCCTCCGAGTCCAACCCTTTAAACGTCACCTTCAAAAATGCAAAGGCCAGAAACCTATTAACACTCCCTAAAAAAATTAAATTAAATTACGTTAAAAGGCAGATGCCATGTAAAGAGGGGATTTAGAAAAGCACTCAGGAGCAGGGATGGAACATGGCAATAAAATAATCTCTTTGGGCAAAGACAATGATCTCCATGAAGCCAGTGATGACTTAGAGGGTTGGCAATGCCTCTCAGCTCCCTGATAAAGGTGCTCAGGGAGGTACGTGGGTGCCTGCATGTGCTGGGTGACCTGGCTTCCTCTCCGTGGAATAAAATAAATCATTAAAACCCCCCTTTAAGAAAACTCCTGCAGCATTTTCCACACATTTCTTTCCCCCTCCCCCCCATGTGGGGTTATCTCCTCTGGTTCCAAAGCCACAAGAAAATATCGTCATATTTTTAAACCCAAACCTCAAGGTAAATAAAGGCAAGGGTTTGGATCTGCATCCAGCCCTCGCCACTTCTATCAGGGAAAAAAATGCCGGCGCAGTTCTCTGCCGATACAAGATAGAAAGGTGGAGAACATTTTTTAAATGTTCTGAAAACATTCCATCATCTATAGCAATCAAAGCCCCATTGAAAGCTACAGAACCCCTCACATTCGAGGGTTTTAATGAAAACCAAATTTTTTTTTTTTTCAGGGCCTGTGTTTTTCTTCGAGAGGATTTCCAGGGGGATACAACCGGAGCTGGGGGTGGACGTGGGGAGCTTGGCTGGAGGTTCCTCCTGCCCCAGTAGGGCTTTCACTGTGGGGGTTTTTAAAATGGTTTAAAGATAATATGGCCTCGTAATTTTTGGGACTTGTCAAAGTGGTCTCTCTTGCCCCGGATCAGCGCTGGGTCACTTTTCGCTGGAAAACGAAGGGTGGGGCAGGGGCAGGAGGGGAGAGGGGGGTCTTGGGCGCTTGCCATGAGGGGAGGGCTCCCAGGGTCGGGCTGCCAGGCTGCGGGCAGGAAAGCAAAAACCAGATTCGGGGCTTAACTTTTGACGGTGTGGAGCTGGGCAAAGTGCCTGCCTGCTGTACCAGGGGAAACATCCCACATGCTGCGAACTGCCCGGCCCTGGGAGCGGAAACCTCCTTGGAAAGCAGCAGGGGTTATATCCCCTCCCTAAAATACCCTGCATAAAACCCCCCCAGTTTCTCTGGGTCAGCTGAAAGGCTGCTGTTAACAAACGTCTTTTAGGTTTGGTTTTCTTTTTCCGAGTTGCTTTTAGTCTTAACTGCACATGGAATTGAGTTGTGGCCGTGATGAGGACGCTGCTGAGGAGGGGTCGGCAGAGATGTCCAGTGGCCCCATCCCACAGCAAGGACCTTCCCTCGGGTCTCTCCCTCACCCACCAGCGCCTGAAATCCCCTGGAGCCACTCCATGCCCAGCAGGGTCCCCAGTGGGGCACAGAAAAAGGGAGTGGGTGAAGTGCTGTTGCCCACCCAGGCGGGGATGGTGGTGATGTGGCCGGGGGCTGCCTGGACCACACAGCTCCGAGGCAGCAGCAGGGAGGGGTTCAGGGAGCCCTAAAAGCAGCCGGTGGCAGCGGGGGCAGCCTGGGGACCCCCAGGTTTCGCAGGAACATTTAATCCCCTCGTTAACGTCCCCCATTAGAACAATTCATTCTTTCACTCCGGCTTAAACACCCAACTTTACTTTACAGCTCATTTCATTTATGACTGAGAAATGAAATTAGTGTATCGATTTCATGGCAGACAGTGAAAAAAACCTGGGTGTTCCTGGTCGTAATAAACCCACGGGCTGCAAAGACAAACAGCAAAACCTGCCAAGGGGGGCGGGCTGGGCTGCAGCCACCGCAGGGACCCACTGGGAAAGGCACCGGGAACAGCACCGGGACTGGCACCTCCGGGTCCTGCCTCTGGAGCCAAACCCAGATCTGCTGTGGTTGCTTTCCTCTCCGTCTTAAAATATTCTCTGTATATGTTTGGAGGGACCTGGGGGCTTTGCAAATCGCTCAGATGGAAAGGAAATACGCTGCCTGGTAGCACTGGTGTGAAATATCCCTCCTGGAGCGCGGCCAGAGCCCGGGCGGGGGCTGGAGAAGGGGTTCGCGGCATCACCGCAGGGGGATCAGCAGAGCGCTGTGCAAGGGTGGAGAACCCGACCTGGTCCTTGGCTGCCCACCCGATGGGCATCGCAGTGCGGGCAGAGCCAGGATTTAGGTGATCCAGCCCCAAAAGCTCGCTGGGGTTTCCTTGCCCTCCCGCTTTGCTGGCTGTGGCAGCGCCGTGCCAGGGGCAGGAGTTCAGGGCAGCGCCCTGGTGCTCCCACCACTCTCCCGACCGCTTTGCTGCCCCGATGCCATCCCAGGGATGGTTTGGTTGCCCAAAGAGACCCGCGGGTTTTCCAGTGCAGCGTCGGGCTGGAGATGCGCGTGCCAGGAACCTGGATACCTCACCAAAAAAAGCAGCACCCGTATAAGCACCCTGCCTGACCCCCGGGGGCTGGAGCAGTGCGGAGGGCGGGGGGGACACTCCCAAACCGCTCCCGAGGCCAGATCCCGCCCCGCCAGAGCTGAGCATCCCAGGGGGAGCAGCGTGTCCCTGCGGGGACCCGGGAGGTGCCCGAGTGGGGTTGGCAGGAGGCGGTGGGTGCTGCCGGGTGCCTCCGGGTGACCCCGGGGGCCGCGTCCCCCGCCACCCCGACGTGCCCCGTCACGCGTGAGCGCTGCCCACGCAGGCAGGTGCTCGCCCGGGGCGCTCACCTGGGGATGCGCCGAAACGGCACCGAGCGCGCACACACACACACACGAGGGATGCACCCGCGTCTCCCCTGCCCGCCCCTCCTGCCCTAATTAAAGCCCGTTATCACCCCATCTCATGCAATTCCGAGGTTAACGAGGCCCCGCTCTCCGTCCTCCCCTGCCCCGGCTCTTTGAAGTGGAGCCGCTTTCATGGCCCGGTGTCTGACAGCCCGGAGCGCGCCGGGATCCCGGCACCCTGTCGCTCACATCATTTTTAGCCTCTGTGGGTTAGGGCAAGAATAAAGACTCACATGAGCCTATTTTAATTTAAACTCTTCTGATCTCCCGGCCCAGCCCAACCTCTGTGCAAGAAAACACCTTCCCTGCATCCCAACCTGCTGCTGGCAGGAATTAACAGTTACACGGGGACACTTGGTTTGAGTGGATAAAATAAAAATACTGCAAGTGATTAAACTGCAGAACAGCACATGAGGTGTTCCAGGGGCATTTTGAGCTGGAATTGTCAGGGCAATCAGCACTGGGGTGTAGGTTTGGGTGCCACTGGGATGTGTGTCCAGAGACATGGCCCCACTTTGGGGGGGGGATGGAGAGGGATTCAAGGAGGCTGAAGAGGGAACTCGGCTTAAATCTGGCACTGGGAAAGATTCCTGAGCTGGGTAGAAGTGTTTGGGTGCTTAATTCTCACCAGCTTTTTTTGCCCATTTTAGCCCTAATCCCAAACTGGCTTGAAGGAGAGATTTCCAAGGTAGGCAGCTGGGATGGCATTGTAGAAGAGCCCCAAGCCACCAAAAATTAACCCAAATTGGTCCAATTGGACTGTTGTCCACCCAGGAGAGCCATGGTGCACCTCAAGGAAGGAATTAGCCCTTGGAGTCCTGGCTGCTCCTGCTGCCCTGGCCTTGGTTGCCCCCTCCTCCCCAAAATCTGGTGTCCAAAGCCCAGGACAGACATGCCTCAGTCGTATGCCTTGGAAGGGGGTTGGGCTGGTCCAGCTGGGAACAAGCAGGCACTGGGGATGAGCTGAGCAGTAAGGATTTGTTTGTTGTTGGAGTCCTATTTATGGGCAAACATTAAATTTTTGAATTGAAGAGAGTCCTCTGCAATATGTGGAAGGACTTGGGGTTGATTTGAGCTGAAGGAGCCGTGGCACAGGGCTGGATGGTGGTGTTGGGGCGGGTTGAAGCTGGGGAGACAGAGCTCCTTGAAAACCCCAACATCCTGAAGAAAACAGCTCCTGTGACCCTGGAACAATGTTTTTATTGGGTTGGTTTTGTATTGCACCAAACTTGAGAAATTCTGAGTGATCAGGAATGAAGGATTGGTGTTTTTTTTTTTGTTGTTTTATCATTTGGGCACTGGACCAGCCCTCCACCCCTGCTCCTCTCCCAGCTCCCATCCTCGCCAAGCCTTCTGCCAGCCAGCACTGCAGGAACAGCCAGACAGGGATCCTGGCCAGCAGATCCTGAGTTGGTGGTGGATTTGCCCTTCCCAGGCCTTGGGTTAACAGCTCCTGCCTTTTCCCAAGGGTGGGAATGGCACTGGTGACCAGCACCAGGGCTTGCCCCGAGGGGTGGGAAGGGGACAGAGCCCAGTGAGACCAGGTGAAAGGGGGCAGCGAGTTTTGAAAAGCCTGTGAGAAGCAAAAGCTCTCCCTTTTGTGCCTGTCTGGGAATTAAATGGAGAGAAAAAAACCCCATGAAACTCCTATGTATAAAATATACATACAAATATATATAAATATATATCTCCCCCAAGGCGTGAGGTCCCGCTGAGTAAGTGGATGTGAATGACGTGTAACCAAACACTTTCCCAGACACCCTAATGAATTTTCCATGTTTTCCATCATTTAGCTTCTAAATAGGCAGTATTCACAAAAACACCCACCCCAACCCCAACAAACCCCCCATCCTTTCTAGCAGGAGGCCCTGCAGAAGGGTTAAACCCCCCACAGATGCCCAAGGAGGTGATGCCAAAGTGGGAATCTCACGCTGGACCAGGAGATGGGTGTCCCTGTTTGTAAGTTTAGGGGGTCTCTGGGAGTGCAGGATGGGTGTTCTCCACCTCTCTTCGGCCCTATTTCAGAGGAACAGGATTGGACCTTAGTGATGCTGATTGCTCATTTGTGCAAAGGTTGTTAAGGGCTTGATGAGGGCAAGGGATGGTGTGGCCAAGGCAAGAGCCAGGATCCTTCTCCTGTATTCCGTGTAGCCTTCAAATCTTTGCAGGCTAAAAGATTATTTACTGAGGCAGTTTGGACACAACAGAGTCATTAAAATAGAGTCTGGGGTTTAGAGCTTGGTCTGGATTGAGAATGTAATAAGATTTTTGCTGAGACTTTTGTTATTTCTGATCTCAAAGGAAATAGTCTTCATTTTTCCTAGGAGATTTTTTTAGCCCGAACTCCAAGCAATTTAATATCTGAATGCTCAAAAAATAGTCTTCCAAGCTCCAGTGATTTTTTTTTCCCTCCTTTCAGTTTTCTGTTGCAAAAGAAAACCCAAACATTCCCGCTCTGGCTGCCCCAAACTGTTGCTTCCAGTCCTGTTTTCCAGCATCCCCCTGGAACAGCAGGAGCTCTCGTGTACTGAGGAGCCTTTGGGAGAGGTTGGTGCACCCCACATCCCCACACTGCCCTGCTGGGGTCCAGCCTTCCCATTTAAATTCATTAAATTGGTGCAAAACTTGTGTATAAGCAAGATGCAGTGGCAGCACACTGGATGCTGTGCATGGTAGGTGGCCCACATAAAAATATCACCTATATAAAAACATCACCCATATAAAAATATCACCCATATAATAATAATAATAATAATAATAATAATAATAATAATAATAATGCCCATATAAAAAGAATGCCCATATAAAAATAATACCCATCTAAAAATAACACCCATCTGGCCCTCAGGTGTTGGGTGTATTTAATACCATCACCTCCCTGGGCCTCCCAGCTGGATTTTAGCTACTGCCATGTCCCCCCTGCACTGGTTTGGTCCAGCATCTCCTGCTCCAGCCACAACCTCACCCCCTCTGCCATCACCCCATGGGTACCAGCACCAAAACCACTTGGCAGAGGGCTGGCACCCCCTTGATTCCATGGATCCCATGGACAACCCAGTGCATATCAGTAAAACAAAGCCCTTGTTATTAATCCTCTTTTTCTTTTCCCTTTCCTTCCCCTTGCAGCTTTAAATGAGGCTGCGAGAAAAGCACAGCTCAACTTGGAACAGAAAGTTCCTGTAAATAACAGCTACACCTCGGGGTGTTTCCTCTCCCAGTAGCTGTGAAGAAAAAGGCAGCTATGTCTTGGGTTTGCCTTGGAACACATTTCCGCTGGCCAGGGCTGTGGAGCCAGGGCTGAGCATTTATTGTGGTTTGGTTTGGGCTTTTCCTAATTTTTTTCTCCCCCCTCTTTTTTTTCTTTTCCCTCTTTCCATGCGAACACTGCTGAGGGCTTTGCCTACAGAGATGCTGCAAAGAGGAGGCAGAGCACTGGCTCCAGCACATCCTCCCTGCTCTCGGGCACGGCGCTGGCATGGCCCCGGCGTTCCTTCTCCGGGATCATGAATAACTCCGGCGCTGAGTGACTCGGCTCCTCGGGAGCCCCAGCCTGCAGCGCCTTGGCATGGGATGCTATTGTAGGCTGGGATTCTTTCATTTTTGCCTTTTCAGTCATTTGGGTTCTGGAGGCGAGTGGTGAGTGCTAAAGGGTTTGGGCTTGGACCGCCTGGGAGTTTGGGTCCCGCTGAAGATTTGTGCTGGAGCTTTTGTGGCTCGGGAAGCGGCGCGGCGATGACAGGCGGAGGGCAGGGAGCGGGATGCTTGGCTGGGATGCAGGGATCACCTTGCCAGGTCTACCCCAGTGCAGGGTTAGTGGTCCAGACCCACCTTGGAGAAGCACAAAGGGGTTTTCTCAGAGCTTGGGTCCCCCCAGCCCATCACATCCCTCCTCCCTGGACACCCTTGCGATGCCTCCTTGGGCCAAACTGTGATTGAGACCAGCCATGAACCCCCCTCAAACACCAGATCTGGGCACCGTGGTGCTCAAAGAGGTGCCAAAATTAGACCCTGGAGAAAAAGTAGCGTGAGGAACCTTCCTCTGCAGCAGGGCACAGACCTGCTCCCCGCAGCGAGAAGTGAGCAGGCGGAAGGCACCGGGGAGACTTGTAACCATACGTTTATTATTCCACATGGAAAGTCATTAACATGATTACATGGAGGCCTGGCTCTATAATCACGTACATTGGATAAGAACATCGACACCGATACCAGAGAAGCAGAACTGACCACTGTGCCATGGCTTCGACCCCACGCCATCCCCACCCGCTCCCGACAGAGCCCGACTGTTCTCAGGGAAGTCACAGCTTCTTCCAATGACTTCAACAGGAGCAGACCCTCCTCTTCCTCTCCCTCCCCGCCCCCCCCCCTCCCCAGTGACAAGTGCTACAAGTTAAAAAGTTGGGCTACATATTAAATATAGGGCATTACCTTCAAGTAGGGCTGGTATATTACACAAATAACCACATTTTTTGGTATCACTAGCTTTTTTTTTTTAATGTCCACTGTAAGACACCATTAAAAAAACCAAAAACTTCAGCCTTCTTTATCTACAAAGATCTTTGTTCTCATCTCCTTAGTCTGGTGTTATTTTACCCTGCACGTACAAGTATTAGAAGCATTATTAAGAATCGTATCCTTCAACACACTTAAGAATTATATTATTATAACAAATAAGACCAAAAATTAGATTTTATAGTTAAATATTCTGTGAGCCAGACAAAGGGGTTTTACTGTACAAGCGATTGTGCATTTTTTAAAAAAGCAAATTATAGTGCAAAGCAAAAAACATTGGCCTGTCTCATGACCATTTGCATACAACAGAGGTGCATCTATTTACACCTTCACATGACAATATGTCATAAAAACAACATTGTTGCCATTCTTATTATTTTCTCTTTTAAAATTCATTACGAACAGTCTTAAATTAACCTAGTACTACGAATGCCTTGTTTCCTTTGTGCTTTCAATCAGTGGATGACAAATGTAAATGCATCAAACACAGGCTGCCGTGGTCCAGTTCCAGAGCCGGCGAGCGCCGGCACGGTGCCTGCTGGCGCTAAGGCAAGTGAAGGTTGCAGTTTTGCTGGGGTAAGGCTTTTTATTTTTATTATTATCATCATTATCATTATTATTATTATTTAAAAGAGTTGTTCTTCTTGTTGCTTATTGAACTCATGAGTGGTCATCGCAGCTTTCCAACTAAGCCAGGATGTCTTGCTCCAGTCTCGACGTGGTAGTGCAATTACAACGCTCTGTGCCTCGACCGAGGGCTGACAAGCTGCCAACTGAGATTTGGGGACAGGTGACGTGGCTGTGATGGTGTGACCGAGGCAGAGGGGCCCAGGGGGGCAGCTACAGGGTTTCAATTTTCGGATGTTCATGGTAAAAAATTAAAAGACAAAGGCTCGGTTACTGGTGGTGCTGGGGGCTGGGGCTGTCCGTGTCCCCGCGCTGCAGGGGAGGCTCTGGAGGGCAGTGGGTACTGCAGTTACACATTCCCCAGGAACCCATCCACACACCCTCAGCCCTGCCAGGGTAGGGAATCATGAATCCAGCCCCAATTCCCATGCCAGCAGAAAGCCCAGCTGGCTTGCAGGAGGTGACAAGCCCTGCATTGTGCATCAGAGCCAAACCACTGACCCCGGCTTGGAGGAGCCCAGACGGCCTCTCCAGCTGCCTACGACCTCCATTATGGCCCTGTTTGGTTGCAATGTCTTTGGTATCAGCTACAAGGGTGCCTGGGAGAGCTGGTTCCTCCAAATGCCACAAGATGCAACCAGTCATTGATGGGCTGATAGTACCTTCAGTGGCCCTTCTTCAGCTTATTCATCTACAGCAAGATACCCCATGCTCTGGGTCACCTGAGGGGAAGGGAAGGAGGGTGAGGGGATGGAAAAGACTAGATAACATCACTTCACAATATTCCCAACCACCAAGTGTAGAAAGTGCTCCTTTCTCCAAATCTCAGTTAGAGCTTTCAGCGTGAACCGACAAGTGTAAGTCAAAATAAAAAGTCATCGTGTCAATCCACTCTGGGTGAAAACGTGGGAAAGAATCATAACAGAGTGATGATGCTTTGCCACCAGCTGCATGTGTTGCCACTCAGAGAGGAGGAAAGAAGACCCGGAGAGCAGTGGCAAGCACATGCCAAAGGCCCCCAAGTCTCTTTTGCAGCTAACGCGCTTGGAAGTGCATCTCATCCGTCTTGGATTGTCCTGAATGCCACCTTCACTTCAGCCACCATCACTGAGATCTGCTAAGAGGAGCAAAGAACTGAGTGGTGAGGTCAGGACAGAAGAGCAAACAAAACAAAACAAAACACGTCGCGTAAAAAGTACATCTCGTGTGTAAACATAGAGAAAAGGGGCCCGTCAGGCACGGGATCAGCCACGTTACTGTTTTAAAAGTGACGACAATGACAAAAAAATGAACAATACAACCTCTGTCGCCAACAGCAAATAATAATAATAATAATAATAATCACATCACAGCTCCTGTTCACGTGGCTGACGCCGGCGCAGCCCCGCCGTGCCCGATCCCCACGGTTGTGCTGTAAACCCGACTGCTCTGGCGTCGTTCCGGAGCTCTTTGGTGGTCAGGGACCCTACACCAGTGGGAAGGGAAGGAGAAGAGACAATGGGATTTTTTTTTTTCTTTTTTTTTTTTTCCCCTCCTTTTTTCTTTTTTTTTCTCAGTTCAGTCCTCTTGCGCTGGCAGAGAGACGGTTTGGGCAACTCCCTGGTCTTTTCTCTTCTCTGAACCATTCTGAAGGGTGAAGCTTTTCTTCACTCTTTTTGAGGGGAAGAGGTGTGAGTGAGATGACTGAGAAGTGTTCTGTGAGTAACAAACATCTGATTCCACATGTCCTTTTTTTTTTCCCCCCTATGTACAATCCACATATTTAAGACACACAAAAGGAACCACATCAAGCCTCGTGGATGTTCATCTTGAAATGTAACGTAGGTCCTGGTCCGTCTTTGCTTGATGTTTGCCCGTGCTTGCATGCAGAGGATCCTGGTTTGCTTTTGGTTTGGGAGGCTTTGGTTTAGGCATCACTTTGCTCTGGTCACTACCAAAAGGAGCAAAAGGTGGCTGATTGAGTTAAAAGACATCGGCGCACAGCCGAGTTCCTCCTAGTAGGGTCTCCAGACCGACTCATCCATCCTCCCAGTAGTCGTCATGGTCGTGGGTGAGTTACTGTGGCTCCCGTCCGCATCCACCCCGTCGTTCTGATTGCCCAGGGTGGGATTCATTAGGTTGTTCCCCGCTGAGGCGCTTGTGCAGGACGAGAGCATCCGGGTGGGCGAGCGCTCGCCGCCCGCCACCATGGAGAACTGGTAGGAGCCCGAGGACGTGCCGTAGTACAAATGGTACGGAGAGGGGTTGGCCTGGAAGGGTCCGCTCTGGTTCTGCGTGGAGCCGGGGTAGGGGGGCGGCAGGTAGGTGTGGTGGAAGCGCGTCGTGGTGGGCATGCTGGTCATGCTGATGCCCCCGATGCCCGTGGCCGAGGGGGTGGCGGTGTACGGGAAGGCGGCGGACATGGCGCCGGGATAATGCATCCGTGGGTCGGAGAACCTGGTCTCGGTGAGCGCCGGCAGCGTCGGGAAGGAGCGGTCGAACTGCCGGGGGTCAGAGAAGGGGCTCAGGTCTGACGTGCCTGTTGGGGTGAGGAAAGAAAGAGGGTGCTTAGAGCACTGTCCTTGAGAGTTTGTCCTACAGCCCCCTGCCTTAGGAATTAAAGTCAGAAGGAAAAGCATCTCCTGGATCTGCCAGGGAAGAGAGCTGGGGGACTTAAATAAAAAGAAAATTAAAAAAAAAAAATCCCAAACCCATTTGTTTAAGTTGTTCCCATTTCCTGTCCTCAAATTTGTTGTTTCCTATCCAAGAAGGGACACGACTAAGCTGAGCTTCTCTAAAGGGTCTATTCATCTCCGGCAGATTAAAAAAACACACCCCGTAAACACAGAAAAAAAATGTTTAGCCATTACATCAGCTGTGTAGTAAATAAATGGATGCAGGCCCCAGACGGCCGGTCCCTGGGATCCTCTGTGGTGTATATACACATACACGGAGACAGGGAGGAAAAGCTGGAGCCCAGACCAGCCTGCTAAGCCTTCTTGTGGGTGGCCTGTTCGTGCTGATACCATCAGGGGATGGAGCTGATAAACACACAGTTGAAAACTCCCAAGCTAGGAGCCACAATATCCCTCTGCTTGAGTTCTCTGTGTATTTTTCTCCTTCCAAGAGGATAAAGAGAGTGAGAAATTCAGGCTTTCTTCTGCTGGGGGAAGGGAGACTCGGGGCAGCGCAGCGGGGACGTTACCCAGCTCCACTGGATGCTGGAGCCCCCCACGCCTTTTCTTGGGGGATCTAAAAACAAAGGGGGTCACAGTCAGCTTGGAACTGGAGAGGGACCTTTGCTCAGTGCTCTTGGATCCCGTCCTCCTGTGGGGAGCCCAGGTTAGAGGTGGGAATCCACACCAGCAGATGCTTTAAGGACCTCAAGGCCTTCCTGTGGTTTTCTCAGCTGTCCCAAGGCCGGTGCCATTCCTTAAAAAGCCCAGAAACCTCCGGCCTTGGTGCATCAAGACAGACAGAAATGAGTTTTGCTCTCCAAAGAGAGAAGCAAAACCTCTGTACTTGAGACCTCCACAGCCCAGGCCAAGCTCCAGCACTGGGTCTGCAGAGGGCACGTCTAGAAACACTGTGACTGCACCTTCCTCAGCCTTGTAACACTCCTTGTGAGATGAAAATCTCTTGAAAGAGCAATTCTAACCCAAAGCTGATGCACTGAGCTCAAAGCCCTGCCCAGCTGGAGGTGGCTCTCCATCCTTTCTGATTACTCCCAAGACCCCTATTTTTCCCTTGTTAAAAGCAAGGCTTTGGTAGTGGAATCCAGCCCCAGTGAGTTTTTTTGGTCACATCAGCTGGATTTTGAATCACTCGGAGCAAGAGAAGGTGAGGTGAGTATGCTAAACATGCTTGTTGGGTTTGGATATGCATATACATACAAACTCACATTCATAGGGTTGGGTGTCTGCTCTGCGTGCACAGGGATGTGTGTTTTATATATATATTTATTACAATGAAGCATTTTTACCTTCTCAGGGCTGGAGTTTCAGGCCCTGAAGCATTTCCCCAGGAAAAAACACTTCGGCTAATCCCTTCCAGCTACCTGGTGACACGGGCACGCTCTGGAGGGGCAGGTAGGGAGGGGATTTGATCTGAACCCTCTTTCTAATCCCGGGTGAGTCCTTCAGCCACCGGCCGCTGGAAGGAGGAGGGGGGAGGAGGTTCCTCCCTCCCCTGCAGCCCTTTTGCGGGCGATCGGCAGCGCCTGCCTTCCCACGCAGGCTCCACGGAGGGGAAAGGCGGGGGAGCACCTGGTTTGTGAACGTGGCTGTGGCTTTGGTGCGAGATAAGAGAGGAGCAGCCCTAAGCTGTCACAAACCACACTGCTCTGCTGGAAAAGCCGACTGTGGAAGCGGCTGCCTGGCCGCAGGGTTGTCCTTGCTCCACGCCGTGTGCAGGGGTAGCGTGCTCGGGCTGGCTGGAAAAGCTGTGAAAAGTGCTCAGAACTGACCAAGCCGACCTGATTTCACATGCCAGCAGGACGCTCTGCCCCATCCCAAAGCCAGGCTGCTGCAACAGCAGCACCAAAATACTGTCAGGCACCGGGAGCTGAGGTTTGGAGACCAGCTCTGCAAGAAGCAGCTTGACCAGAGCCTGTAGCTTTAGCAATCCAGCAGCATCACAGCACGAGGTGGGACCATGGGACAAAAATCCTGGCTGAAGGCGGACTGGAAAGAAAAAGTGCTATTTTCTGAACAAAATGCTTCCCCTTACATGCAGCAGCTCTGCCACTGCTGGTTTGCCATACACTGCGAAAAAAGCAGCCTCCAAACCCCCCCAGTCCCCAGAAAACCCAGACTGGCGCTTGCTGCCTTCCCAGATGACAATCTCCAGCGCTCAGACCGTGCTCCTTCGTTAGTTTTCACAGGCCCATAAATAATATTCCATAAAATGCAAATCGAAATCAAACCTAAGTGCTCAGGGCACATTTCCCTTTTCCTCTATAACACACTCAAAGGTTTGTTGTTTTTTTTTTAGAGGCTGCGTTTTATTGGCCTGAATTTGCACCGTTTGGCAATGGGTCCTTGCTACTAATTCAGACAGGAGTGTGTAAGAGTGTTCATTACAGGCTGTGTGTGTGAGGAGCAAAGCACAGCGATGCCGTGGGGTCTGGAGGCACTCAGCTATCACCTGAAAAACACGGGTGGGCAGCGAGGGAGCTCTGCCAGGGTCTGATCCTGGACAGAGGGCACTCCGCAGGCTTGGGATCTGTGAATTTGGAACGTGAATCCGTGAGAAAGCAAATCCCTCAGTGCAAACCCTCGGTGTGAATCCACATCCAGCAGAGCCACGGGGCATCCAGCCGCCGTGACCAGCCCGCTTTCATCTCCGCCGGCCTTGGGCTCCAAAGTCTGGCCCAGAATAGAGCTCCGGCTCTCCCCAACCAGTCTGAGGCTAAAAATAAACCCCCAAACCACCTCAAAAACAAAACCCCATTTGTGTATTTTGCCGCTGTGTTATCTGGGTGTGTATGTATGTGTGTGTGTGTGTGTGGGGGGGGGTTCAGCCTTGCAGACACCGGGCTGTGCCTCTGTATAACGCCGGACTCTGTTCCGCCATGGCCCCCCCCGGTAGGGACAAGCTCCGCACCGCGGCACCCCGGCGGGAGAGCGGTTCCCCCCGGGGGGCTCCTGGTCCTCCTTGTCGCCCACGGCCCGGCCCAGGTCGCCCCTGGCCCTCGGGGGTCGGCGGTGGCCCCGGTGGTCCCGCCGCCAGCAGGGGGCGGGTGCGGGCGGGCGGTGGCGGCGGGAGGGAGGGAGGGAGGGAGGCGGCCGCTAGAGGGGGTTCCGCCATCGCCTCAGCGCTGTCACCGCGCGAACGCCCCTCCATCTCGGGCACTTCGCCGCAGGGTTACCCATCCATCCCGTCTCCTTCACCTCACGACAGCCCCCCCTTCCATCTCGGTCTTCGCCTCAGGGTTTCACCCCTCCGTCCCGTCTCATTCTCCTCAGGGCTGCCCCTCCGTCTCGGCCGCTGCACCTCCACCTCAGCGCTGTCGCTTCACAACTGCCGCTTCCGTCTTGGTCCTCACCTCAGGGCTGCCCCTCCGTCTTGGTCCTTGCTCAAGGTTTTGCCTCCATCCCGTCTCCTTCATCTCGGAGCTGCCCCTCCATCTTGACTCCCTCACCTCAGGGCTGCCCCTCCATCTCAGTCCTTGTCTCAGGATTTCCCCTTCATCCCATCTCCTTCACTTCACAACTGCCCCTCCATCTCAGCACTGTCACCTCACAACTGTCCCTCCATCTTGGTCCTCACCACAGGGTTTCTCCTCCATCCCATCTCAGAGCTGCCACTCCATCTTGGCTCTCTCATCTCAGGGCTGCCCCTCTAGCTCAACCCTTAGCTTAAGGTTTCCCCTCCATCCTGTCTTCTCCACCTCATGCCCACCCCTCCACCTGAGTGCCCTCACCTCAGAGCTGCCCCTACATCTTGGCCCTCGCCTCAGGGTTTCCCCTCCATCCCATCTCATTCACCTCACAACCGCCCCTCCATCTTGGCTCCCTCCCCTCAGGGCTGCAATGGATCCACACAGATTGCAACCACACAGCCCCGTTCCCACTGCCCTGGCCGGGGGCATCATCCCTCCTGCCCTGCTTCCGAGGAGATCTCCGCTGAAACAGCCCCAGCAAGGTCCAAATAAAACATCGCCATTAACACCCCCCCATAACCACTTAACTCCGGCACACTCAGCCAGAATCAAACAGCAACCTGGAGCGAGCAACATGCTGAGAAAATGCCGGGGAAGAAGGAGTGGGTGAAGCTGCACCCTTGGACCCCACATTCCCTTAGAAATCACAGCTGAAAATGGGCTTTAAAAGCCCCATCTCACTGTCCCCTTCCCCGGTGCATCTCACACACATCTGCTCCATAGTTCTGCCTCCGAGGATTTACTACAGTTTCCCTCTCTTACTCGCCGTCCAGCCCCCATTTGCTTTTTTGGACCCTGGCAATCTGAGCCTGAGTATTTCAGTTGTCCAGTTGCCAATCAAAATATTTGAAGGAAATGTTTATTTTCTTCTCGAAATCACACCAGCTGCTGCACTAACTGAATAAGCCCATTTAGCTGTAAGAATTTAACCATTGTAAGAGTGAATTGAGTCCCCCAACTACTCCAAAATCTGACCCAATCTATCAGCGGAAATGTCAATGTTTTGGATGGGAGTTTGGGGAAGTGTGGAATGTGTATTAAATAAAAGCCATGTAAAGGTCAAAGCCCTGATTAGTAATGCCACTGTGTCCTCCTTAGGGCTGAGCTGCCCAGGGGACCTTGGAGGCCAGGACACACCCTGTGATTTAATTGTGCAGCTGCAATTTGCACCTTTCAAGGACCCCCAAGTCCTCCTGCACGTGGAGCTGGATAGAAACAGGCTTTGAAAGCTGCTCTGCCCCTTTCCAGATAAAACAACAGCGTTCCAGTGACACAGCAGCTTTCTCTCCACCTCGGAGATAAAACAGGTCTTTTCTTGGGTGGATGGTGAGGAGATAAATGTGAAGAGACGCCCCTGAGCCTGTGCGGCGATGGGG